CTGAGTCTGAAGAGGGATTTATGGAGTAGTATCAGACTTATATACTACTTTTGGGCTTATGGACTTGATCTGGACTGAGCTGGGATGTTGCTTGACATATGATTACATCTTGATATAAGGCTCTCTCTTACACATATGAGTGTCACTGGATTTGTTTCTCTAGTCAACCCAGCCTAACACAGCTTCCTAAAAAAGGATTCTGAATGTCTATCTCATCATTCTCAAGATGGAGTTTGGGGATGCTATAAAATTCCATTTCTTTATCAGGAGTTTAGTAAACCTAATTCAAGATTTAATACCAAAATCAATAAAAATATTAGGAATGAGGAGAAATACCAAAAGTCACACGTTTAACCATACCTATGATTCCACCCAGATTAATTTCAATCTTTCGCCTCTACCCTAGTGTGTTAGGGGCCAGCCCCTTTTAGGATACAGTGACTCCTCCCTTTTCTGAAAATCCCATTTGAAACACAAAATCTGCTACTTGTTTTGCATATACAAATTACATCTAAGCTCCAGAGCAGGGATCATAATTTGGAGTCCAATGGAAAATTCATAGTTTAATGACCTATCCCCAAACCAAACTCACTGCCTTTGAGACCATGCCGACTCACAGCAACCTTTTGGACAACTTATAGGACAAACTCCCCTGGGAGTTCCTGAGACTGTTCTGTTAGCAGTAGAGAGCCCTTTCTCCAGCAAAGCAGCTGGTGGTTTTGAACTGCTGACCTTTCTAATTGCAGTCCATCAGATAACCACTACACCACCAGGGCTCCTTAATGAACAAAAGGGGCTGGCTCATAAGTATATCTACTGTAATTATCTATCTTAAAAGGTGACAATAGAAAACAGATGATCATCTCTCTGATGATTCAATCAGTGACAACACTGATGATCATCCATCTATTTCATAAAGGATGACGATTAAAAAAATGCATCCCTTTAACGTCCTACCAACATTTATGTGGAATTCAAGTACAGGCAGACTTCTCCCACACAAAAAGCTTGTTCTCATTCTCGGACATTTTGTGTACGTACTTGCTTCATCAAGGGACAGGTTGTTTTCCTTTGTCCCTAGTGTTAAGTTCCCATAACTTTACATCCTGAATATTCCACATTTGTAAATTCATTTGCAGCGACGGTCAATTACACACATGTAACTGTCCTCACACTCCCCTCGCCCTCCTGTGCGTTGATTTATGCGTCTCCTTGCAGATGTTCTTCTTGAAAGTGGTTTCCGGAGTCCCCACCCTAGAGAATCCCGCTGAGGGAAAAGGATGTTCTTTACAGGGTGGATGAATTGGGTTGAATCCGTCTCCCAGAATATAAGTATTTTCCTTTCCTCTTTAAAGTGACCCTCTTGTAATAAGGAGCCCAAACATTTCTACTCACAGCTAAGTGAAGGAAAAACCCATAAAGAGGAGGTTTACAAGGTTTGTATTATCATATAAACTGTCTTCACATGCAAGGGCATAGCTTGGGAAAAAAATCTCTCTCCCACCCCCAAACATCACAGTAGACCTATTTTTGCTAATATACCACCAAATTTAAAAATATATACATATCTGTATATGTATTATATATTCCATTCTGAATTCTAAACAGCTAATGCTAGGCACTAGCTTACACCTATCAATTTTATAATTTACTGATTTAGTAAGAGCCAGAATAGTTTCTGTGCCTTCCAACTTTTCCCTGAATACTTTGCTCTCCAAAGTTCCAGGCAGTACATGTTAATGCCCTTTAAATTGGGATAAAGGTGATACTGAGCTTTTAAATTACCTACCATATAACTATGACTTCCACTTATTATATGCTTATAAGCTATCTAGCACCATGTATAGAATTCTCAGTACTATTTGATACACTGATTAATCCAAGGATCAAATAACACGACAGCGATCATCTTAAAAGGTATTTTTCTTAAATATAAATCCCTTCCTGTCTCAGATCTTTCTGGCAACGTTCTCTGCTAGCTTGGATGATTGTAGAGCTATTGTCTGATGCTAATAGCAATTCCCTAGACCATTAGTAATGAGGAGCTAAGGCGGTCAACTTTAAAGGCTCTACGCTAATTTAAATGTGGTGACAGACTGTTACAGAACTGC